TGTGCGGTGTTTATGGCCCGATTATAACATTCCCGTGATTCTTTAGTGTAGCTCCTAACTGTCGCGACTCCCTCGAGAGTCAGAAATCTCATTGCTTGGCAGCACACCGACGTGACCACGCTTAGATCATCTAGGATTGGCCTTCCAAGGATGAAGTTATATATGGTCAGGCAGTCCACCACTAGGAATTCGGCCATCACAATTTTGACCTTCGATTCGACCAGAGTTACAGGAAGGTCGATAGTACCTTTGGGAATAGGTTGTCTCCGGTGAACCCATAGAGCGACAAAGGGCACGCTCACAGATTCCTTTCTATGAATCCTATTCCTCTGAAGGGCCTTAAGAAAATAATGTTTGTCGCACTCCCATTGTCGATCATGACCCTTAATATTCTTGCGTTGCCAATCTTAGATGCAATTACAATCGCGTCATGATTGTGACGAGGGGATGTTTCGCACTTGTCGACTGTGAACCCTACTACCTCGCTTTCCTGTTTGTGCAGCTTCTATTCGTAACTCATTATGAGGGACCGAGTTCGTTCTGGCCTCCTAAATGTATTGCTCGCCGGTTCGCCTCGAGCTTCTCGTTATATCCGGTCCTCCGTAAATTATATTCACAAAGACCTCATTGGGGTTTGGCGGAGCCTGTTGAGCCGGGGTTTGTATCTGGCTTAGGACTTGGTTACTTTGCTTGCCAGGATTCTCTCGAGCTAGTTTTGCCTTAACAAATTCTTTCAAATGACATCTTCTTATCAGGTCTTCGATGGCGTCCTTTAGAACTCGGTAGTCATTTGTATTGTGCCCGACATCCCTATGATACCGACAATATTTTTGCTGATCTCTTCTTCCTGGAGCCCCCTTCATTCTTCCGGAGCGGGCAATCTCTTCTTCTTTCAGGATACCTCAAAGATGTGGGCAATGTCTTGAGTAAAGGGAGTGTACTCTGGATACCACGAGAAAGGCTGCCTGTCTTTGCGTTATCTACTCTCTGTTTTTTTAGGAATCTGTTATGATCCTTGTCGCTGCAGTCTTAGCCCCCACGCTTATTCGAGAGGTGATCTTGTTTCTTGTCCAAGACCACACGTGTTGAGCTCTTGGCTAGTGCCGCTAATGAGCTTTCTACTTGTTGGTATTTTGCGGCCATCTGGTAGAATTTGGCCAGGCTCACATGGTCTTCGCTTTAGAGCTCTTTCCACAGCTCCATGTTAGGTCTGATCCCTATGATCAAGAGAGTTCGAATGGATTCTTCGAGAGCATCAGCGACCTTTGTCTACTCGTTCTGGAACCTCGTTAAATACGAGGTTAACGATTTGTCCCGCTCTTGGCGAATATTGCTCAAGTAGCTGAGTGGCATTGCGAACTGTCTCCTCGCCTGAAACTGCTACAGATATAACACGAAGAATTGTTGTCAGAAGTTGATGGAGTTTGCCTTGAGCCGTTACCACCTCTTGGCATCTCCAACTGATGTGATTGTGAAGCACCGACATTTTGCTAAGTCACTAACCTAGGTCACTAAAGTTGTTGAGGTGATCTCTGGGGTCCCCTTTCCCGTCGAACTTGCTTTCTGGTGCCCTGAATCCTTGTGGGAGCGGGGCTTGGCGAACTTCCTCCATAAAGGGGGAACTTACTATTTCTTCCGCTAGGTTATTCTGGCGAGCTTTTAGATCATCGAGAATCCTTTGCATGCAATCCAGGTCTTCATTTTGGTTCCCTTGGTTGGCTCTGTTAAGCTATACCTCGAGCAAGTGGGTCCGCACGTCTGTTGCTTGCGAAGCCCCACCAATGCATGCGTTGATACGCGAGGTCGAGTCATGATGGCTAGGTTGGTAGGTGCTATCATGCTCGTCGGTGCGTTGCTCGCGACGTCGGTCATAACCAGAATGTCATTCATTGCCAGATTGATGCACATGGCTTGCTTCGCGAGCCTACAAAGACCGATCTTGTTTTGGGCGTGGGTTAAAACTGGCACGCTGATGCTGGGGATACCGCCAAGCTTCTCGGTGGTGTTCGTCGCCTTCACTTTCCCTCAATGGCTATTTCCCTAGTCGCATCCTGGGGTTTGTTTGTCTGCGGCACTCTCGCTCGTGCGTGAGGAGCTTCCTATGAGGTTGGCGGTGTTGATCGCCCCCTGGCGGCGACAAAAAGAACTGTCGACCTGCATAATTCATACCTGTTGGGGTAATGTTGGTGAAGCATGGCTAACCGAGGTTCTAGGCGACTGGTTGTTGGTTCCTCAGCTCAGCCACGTTCTATTGCACCGCCTGTACAACCATTGTCTGATCATCTCCATCAATTGGCCGTTCTTGGGATTTGATGTCCCTGCCCCCTGATTGTTTGCGGCGTGCTGAGCCAGCAGCACCGGTGGTCGGCGTCCAACGTTCTCCTGTTGCACCTCCTGGTGGGTGGTTTCCATGTTCTCGTGATTTTCTATGGTAGTTCTTGATCTAGTGAACACCATTTGGGTCCTGGGGCAAGTAAATCGTGGTGAACGTTTTCCAGAATCTTTGAAATAGCGGCAGAGGCCCTCCTTCTAGCGCCAAAATGTTGATAGAGAAATCTGCACCAACTAGTAAGATCCGATCGACCTTGTTGGGATCGGAACTAATGTGGGCATGATTATGGGTAATCAACGATGAGTACATGATAATGCCAGAAAGTAAATGACAAAGAGAATTTTTAAAGTGGTTCGGCGAATGATAAGTTGCATAAATTTAGTGTTTTTATGTTTGTTTTTATAGCCTTCTAGTTAATTTCTCATTTGTTTTTTAGGTTTTGATGTTAGTTTTTGTTAAGTTTGAAATTTGAATGGTCAGCTATTGATTTAGAGAATTTTTGTAATTTTCAGGCGTTAATTGAGTAGATTGGAGCATTGGAATGAAATTGGAATTCAAAGCTTGAAGAAATTGAGATTAGCTGACAAGTTTGAAGGCCATGGCCTTGCCTTGGTGGTTCACCACGGCCGTGGTGGTGGAATGAAGATAAAATAACGAGGACAAGAAACACCATGGCCTAGGCTGTGGTGACGTATATTTGGACACGGCCTACGTTTTTTTTTAGTTTTTCTTTCTTTTTTCACTTAGGACTCTTTTGGGTATTTAAGGGTGATTAAGATTACTCCTGAGGGAGGCTGAATTTTACCTATTCTTGAAGGGAGATTATTGTGTAACAAAAGAGAAAGGAGAATCAAGAACAAAATTCATCAAAGAGTTTGTTTTTACTTTTTCAATATGATTTATTTCTTGGATTCTACTCTTGTTTCTTTTATTATGAACCAATTTTCTCAGGCTAAGACCAGGGTTAGTCTATTTATGGATCTGTGATCAATCTTTTACTCTTTGGTCAGTGAATTATTTTTCTAATGATGAGTTTATATTATGCGCTTAATGCTATTAGGAACCTGATCAATTTCTGATATAATTGTTTTGTGTGATTGAGACAGAGAGGAGATATCACATGAGTGCTCTCGTAATATAGGCCATGGATTAATTGGATATAGAGATATATGAATTGATACATGCAATAGTCATAGGCAGGATTAACTTGTGCTGAAAGCTAGAGGATTTCATAATTGATTGGATATAGAGATATATGAATTGATACATGCAATAGTCATAGGCAGGATTAACTTGTGCTGAAAGCTAGAGGATTTCATAAAGCTTAATGCTCGTTTATTTTATTAAATCTATATAGAAATATCTAGGTTGTGAGATAGAAGTAGAATTAATATTGCTTGAGAAAGAATATTGATTAATCTAGGAAATCTCATTGTCACATTAATTAAATAAATTCATTGACCATAGTAAATTGAAGGGTGCAGAGAAGTTATAGATGAGCCTGAAGTCTTAGCCGTTTTCTCTCATTGAATTCTTAATTTTAGTTTTACTGCAATTCGTTTCTAATATTTCAGATTTTAATATTTTTAGTTTTAAAGATCACCATTCTAAGTTTTGATTATCTAGATAAAGTTAAGACTAATTAATATTTCAATACTTGTTTACGCAATCCCTTGGGTACGATAACCTGTGTTTTATTATACTATATTACTTGAGGCTAGTGCACTTGCTAGCAGTTGTTGCAAACGACACAACAGCGAAGTTAACTGCCTACGTCCACTGTGTTTTGTTTATATGCTGTGAGAGCTTACAATGTAGTTTTAATCTAGAATTTGTATCCCCCTCCTCATCATTTTAGGAGATATATATACAAGATTTACATAAAGGAAATGGCAAAATTAAGGGGATTACAAATGATTTGAATCACAATTCCGATATCCTTGCGATTGAGTGCTATGATCGCGCAACGATAGCTGTTAATCCTGTCATTCCCGCGATATCCAGGATCTGAAGTAATCTGGAGATTGATTGATCAATTTTTGAGATTGTCCACGACTAGCTTATGCTGGGTCAAGCTATAGCTCGACGAGCTTATGCTGGGTCGATCAATCATAGTCGCCGAGGTCATTCTAGGCCGAGCTATATCCTTGCATTGGCCCGAACTTGACCGAAAAACCACACACAACATCTATATATTCATGCCAATTTCTGGCTGAGTTTCATTCCTGTAACGTGAATAAATTTTATACAATTTCTGGCTGAATTTCATTCCTGTAACGTGAAGAAATTTTATACGGTTGCTATAGAATGATAACAAAACTCTTCACAGTTCACACTAGCATCATTTTACAACTTTGCCATTCGTTTACTAAGATTTCTAAATATTTACGTGCCCATCAAATCAATAACTTATTAAAAACATAAAAACAATCTTCAAAACTCCAACAGTGAAAACATTAAAAAAAATAAGCAGTGTTTTCCAATGCAAACAATCCCATTTCCATCCCAAAACTTAGAATGAGAGTCAAGTCACTTGAAACTTGACAATTTTTTTTAACAAAAATAGTGTTGCCAATTCCATATCCTTCACTACAAATACCACCCAAATCCTCCATCTTCTCCACAACAAAATTCACCTTCAAAATATTATCATCTTCACGTTATCAAAATGGCTTCTCCAACTTACTACAATTTCCCACCTTTCCATCCTTCCCAGCCACCTCCTCCTCCGGCTTCAAAAGTACCGCCGCCGCCCCCACCTCCTCACGTTCGTCCTCCACCTCCTCACCCACCTCATGTGCGTCCTCCGCCCCCACCTCATGTGCGTCCTCCGCCTCCGCCTCCACCTTCTCCATCACCAAGCGGCCACACCACAGTCATTGTGATAGTGTTTGTTTCATTTGGCGGTGTTCTCTTCCTAGCATGCATTGCGGCTGCTCTTTGCTGCTTCTTGAAGAAGAAGAAGAAGAAGAGCATTCAAGAAACGGAGGTGGTGCATGTGGATGAACACTTGAAGGTGAAGGAGGCGATTGTTAAAGGCCCGCATGGACCGGAAGTTGTGGGTGTGGTGATTGAAGACGACATGCATGTTGATGAAAGTATTAAAAAGAATGAAGAATTCGGGAAAGGGTTGCATGAAAAAGGTTCTGAGAGTAAAGCCAGTGAGCAACTTCAAGTGGGAACTTCTTCTTCTTCGTCGGGTTCTGATCATCATCATCATCACCTGCTTGACCATAAGGTGTAAATTTAATCATATGTTATATGTGGATGAATGATTCAACTTCCGAATTGTATATTTATTGATGTTTATATATGCTTATTCGATAATATAATAATGTTCACTTTGTTTATTATTATTCTCTTGATAGTTTATATTTGAAAGATACACATTAAGCAAGGAGTGTTGTCTATATATTTATAGAAGTCAAGTGTAACCACCATTAATCTTTGGGTTAATTGAGGCAAATAACACATCTTTGTGGACAGTTTGAAGACCAATTAAAAGAGATTTTTTCTATTAAACAAATATTTTTTTTTTTCTAACAAGACAACAGAATTTTGGTTTTAAAAAGTGACAACAAATAAAGTTTTAAATATTAAACTACCTCTAAGTAATTTGATGGTTTGTTTGATACTGTATTACTTAAAAAGTCTTGAGTTCGAATCCCTATGACTAATAAGGGATAATCACTAGAGACGAGGGATAAGTTGAGGTGCGCACAAACTATTCCGAATACCTTAGAATACCAGAAAAATATATATATATATATATATTAAAAAATATTTGTAAATTTCTCTACCTGAAAATTATTTATATAATTGTGCATGTATTAGTATTAGGTGTGGAAATTATTGCTTGCAGCTTAATGCTACCCTTTTCTATGATTAATTCTTGCACGTGAAACATATGTTGCCATTTAATTTTTCGTACCCATCAAAACATCCATATGCTATATTACATCAAATCAAAACACTAATATAATTATTGAGACAAATTTTTTAAATGTTGTTGTTAGTTGTTGTCACTTAACTTGGGGCAAAGGAAAGCAAAATAATATAAGACAAGTATTGTTGTAGCAAATCAATGACTATAATGTAACCCAAATTTGGGATAATCTCACTTTTGACTCAACAGTCTTGACTTAAAATTAAATTAATTAGTGATTAGATTCTCATAAACAAAAGCAACAATTGGGTGTTTGGATTTGGTAATTAACTAATTAATGAGGAAAAATGGGTTGGATTTTGATGTTTCCAAGAGATGCGGTGTCCTTTGGAAATCAAAACAAGTCTCCAAATCAATTCCCACAGTTTTACCTTTCTTCGTTCTCTGTTTTCTTAAAACTAGTGCTCCCACCCATGGTTTTCCATTTCCACAACTTCCCCCTCTGCACATTTTATATTGCTTAATTAAAATCCACTCATACTAACATTATTTTAAATTATTGTAAAATGACTTTACTTAATTGAGACTTGAAATTGAGGGGCTTTTTCGTCATTTTGGTGCTACAAATCTTAAATCCATATCTGAGTAAACCGAATCTAAAATGGCATTATCATAATTAAACACAAAATTAATGGTTAAAAAGTTACTCTTTGTTTCTATAAATACCATGTCACACCCTCTCAACTTTCCAAACTTTTCAAAAACGCCACCGAATTCAAGTACTACTGCCACCACTATGCAAGCCTCCCGATACTCTCTTGCATGTACTCCAATTGTCACAAATCTCACCCACCACCACCGTGTCACACCCACCGTCACATTCCGGCGGACACTACAACAACCCATCTTCGCCGTGGCAGCACCAGCGCTAACAAAACCCCAGAAAACACACTCCCTCCCACCTGAAAAAATCGAAGTCTTCAAATCACTTGAAGACTGGTCAACCCAACAGGTGTTGCCATTACTCAAACCCGTGGAAAAATGCTGGCAGCCCCAGAACTTCTTACCCGACCCGGCCATGCCGGTGGATGAGTTCAATGAACAAGTTCGCGCATTGCGTGAGCGAACAGCCGGGCTGCCCGATGAGTACTTCGTGGTGCTGGTGGGCGATATGATCACCGAGGACGCTTTGCCCACGTACCAGACGATGATTAACACGCTCGATGGGGTCAAGGACGAGACCGGGGCCAGCTCCAGCCCGTGGGCCTTGTGGACTCGGGCTTGGACCGCTGAGGAAAACCGGCATGGTGATTTGCTCCGGACGTATTTGTATTTGTCGGGTCGGGTTGATATGCTCATGATTGAAAGGACTGTCCAGTATCTAATTGGATCCGGCATGGTGAGTTATTTTAATTAAAATTTTAATCTAAGAGTTAACATATTTTAATTATAATTAATTAGTGTTAATTACATTTTAACAGGACCCGGGAACGGAGAACAATCCGTATTTGGGCTTTGTGTACACGTCATTTCAAGAGCGAGCCACGTTCATATCGCACGGCAACACGGCTCGTTTAGCCAAGGAGAGCGGTGATCCAGTGCTGGCGCGCATATGTGGCACGATTGCATCCGACGAGAAGCGCCACGAGATTGCGTACACGAAGATCGTAGAGAAGCTCCTGGAAGTGGACCCCACGGGCGCGATGATGGCCATCTCAGATCTGATGAAGAAAAAGATCACGATGCCAGCTCACCTGATGTACGATGGGCGGGACCCACGGCTTTTCGAGCACTTCTCGGGTGTGGCTCAACGGCTCGGCGTGTACACGGCTCATGACTACGCGGACATATTGGAGTTCTTGATTGGAAGGTGGGGGTTGGCGAAGCTGGAAGGATTGACGGGTGAGGGAAGACGCGCACAGGAATTTGTGTGTGGGTTAGCGCCCAGGATTAGGAGGCTGCAAGAGGTGGCGGATGAGCGAGCAAAGAAAATGAAGGCACATGGCGTGAAATTTAGCTGGATTTTTGATAAGGAAGTGAAGCTTTAAGTTTATGAGTGAGTTGTAAAGCGTTTTTGTTTTTGTAAAATGGTTTTTTTTTTTTTTCAATTTGGAGTTTGGTTATATCTTCCAATTTTATACTAGTCTTATAAAGCTTAGACTTTTTTTCTTTTAATAATTTTTTTTTTTCCTGAATTAATGTCTAATATTTATTATGAAAATTGGAGATGAGTATAAATCACTAAATTTTTTTGATAAAATTGATACTACATAATTATTTGATAGTAAAAGAGCACAAAAATATTTAAGTTTATATGATCTTTCAAGTTCTTGAAATCCTTAATAGAAATATTATTAAAACTTTGTTTCGCTCCAGGATCAAGATCCCCCTAATAGAAGCTTTTTATTCTATAAGTATTTTTACATTCCTAGATAATGTCAATGTAATTAATTTTTACACTTAATAGGGGACAAGTAGATCATATTGTCAGGAGTCAAATATTGGAGTAAAGCATATATATGTCATGTTAAAAATAAAAATTCCATTTAAGGTATATAATATATTAGTATCATATTTCAATTTGCCAATGCATAATGTTCTCACATACCGACCTTTGATCCTTTTTTGGATTAGCGTATTTTGTAAATTCCGCCCTTCATTTTATAATTTATTACCAATTAAATCTCTTATTATCACTAATGTTTCAAATTAAATATATAAATAAAAACAAAAATGGGTTACAAATTAGAAATTACCATTTCTCAGTCTTCTCATCATGGTGGTCACATTTATGAACTCACAACTAAAATTTCTCTGCTACTAATACTATTTACTCAATGTGGTCCATTGGAATTTACGTTTTGGCCTTACTGATCATACCCATTACGTATTGGATTCTGCACAAATGGAGGACTTGTCCAAGCAACGTCAAGCTCCCTCCAGGTTCTATGGGTTTGCCTTTCATTGGAGAGACTCTTCAGTTCTTTGTCCCCAGCAAATCTTTAGATATTCACCCTTTTCTTAAAACCAGATTACACAAGTAAGTAAATGAAGGAATCGATCCTTCAGTTTGGGCTGAGTATTTGCTTAACATTTGTGTGTTGAATTTGTAGAAACGGGCCTCTGTTTAAAACGAGCTTGGTTGGTCGACCTGTTGTGGTTTCATCTGATCCAGGGTTCAGTCATTTTATTCTTCAGCAAGAAGGCAAGCTGGTGGAGTTGTGGTATATGGACTCTTTCGTTAAGCTTGTTGGTTTGAGTGGCTCTGTTAAAGATGGTTCGTGCATTATTGCTGGATACATTCATAAACGTCTGAAGAAATTGGTTTTAGATCAGTTTGGTCCTCTGAACCTGAAAGAGAAACTTCTTCCTGAGGTTGAAGAACTGGTCAATCGAGCTCTGTCTAATTGGAGAAGCCAGAGTTTTGTTGAAGTGAAGCAGGCTTGTGCAGTGGTAAGTTTTTTCCTGAACACCAATTTTCTGACACAGTATATTACCATCGTGATTGATCAAGATGTTCTGGAAAATAATATTGCAGATGATAATGAATTTCACTCTTAGGGAGATGTATGGTTATGATCCTGAGAAACATGGGGAGATTATGGCCGAAGAATTTACAGATTTCTTTGAAGGGCTTATGTCTTTGCCAATAAATATCCCAGGCACCACTTACCATAAGTGCTTACAGGTAATAATTTTCCTTTCCGGAAAATTTATTCATTCATCATTTTTTGCAATTCCATACACTGATTTGAGATTTAACTTAAATGTTCAGAAGCAGAAGAGTTCATTGAAGATGATGAGGAAATTGATCGAGGAACGACAGGCATCGTCCGAAGCTGAAGCTAGAAGAGGGGACTTGCTGGATCTTATTGTGGATGACATGAAAACAAATAAATTATTAACATATGATCTAATGTCATACATGATGTTCGGCCTTTTACTTGCAACATTTGAGACAATCTCCACCACTGTCACTTTGATAATGATGCTACTCACAGAACACCCTTTAGTTGTGCAAGAGTTAGAGGTAAATATATGAACTTTAAAGTTCAAAAAGTTTTAAGCTTGATAAACATATGTGAATTTTCCTGCTTTCTATTGTCATTTATCAGAAGGAAAACCAGGAAATTCTTCAAAGCAGAGAAAATATAGGAAGTAAAGTGACATGGAAGGAATTTAGATCAATGACTTTTACACTGCAGGTTAGGCTTGTAAAACAAGATTATTTTTTCTTCTTCCCTGGAATGGCTAAGTTTTTTATTTATATTGGTACATTTCAGGTCATCAATGAATCACTTAGAATGGGTAATTTTGTACCAGGGTTCTTAAGAAGAGCAATCAAAGATATTCACATAAATGGTAGTAGATAATTGGCTTGGTTTCTAATTACAATTTTCCAATTTACTCCAGTCTCTGAATTCTTTTGAATGTAAAATTTACAGGATATACAATTCCGGAAGGCTGGACAATAATGGTGGTTCCATCAGCTATTCACTTGAACCCAGAAAAATATAATGACCCTCTTGCATTCAATCCATGGAGATGGAAGGTTGCATCATGTTTCAAACATCGATATCAATTCTTAGATTACATTACTTCCTAAAAATACATTAATTCCATAAGATTTATTTCTATATAACAGGATTTGGCAGCAAATGTCACAGCGAAAAATTTCATCCCTTTTGGTGGAGGAGTGAGGTTATGCCCTGGAGTTGAGTTCAGCAAAGTGTTGATTGCAGTATTTCTCCACGTCTTGGTCACAAAATACAGGTTATTTCTGACTCTACAGCTTTTATTTGTGAGAGATTTCCTTATCCACTTGTCTTTTAACACCTGATCTTCGAATGGGGATTAACCTTTTTGTGTATTTCTGAATCTTTAGCTGGTCTAAAGTGAAGCATGGAGAAATTGTTCGAGCACCAATCATGGGATTTGGAAAAGGTTATTACATTAAGTTAGCAGAAAAGCTAAAATGATCATGACACAGGGTGCATAGACCTTACGATATGTATAATGTTCATTATCTTCGGTGCCACAACTTGGTTTTGGTCCTCAATGGAATTACATTTTCTGAACCCTTTTCATGGCCAAGTAATTCATCAATAGCAAGTTAAAAAGTCTTCATGATATAGATTTTCTAAAACCAATTTCTTCTTCTGATATACTTGCTCTTTAAGAATAATGTCAGCGGAAAATAGAATGAAAAAGTGAGACTGGCAGTCAGATTTGGAAATTGATCATAAACTCATAGAAACTCCATAATCAAATGCTATAAAAGAAAGACTTAAAAGTTTTTAAAGACAAACGTTCGTTGTATGAAACTAATTATTCTGTGCTCTCTCCAAGTTCAGGGTAAAAATAACTCAGAAGGGATATGTATGCAGGATCTAAGAACCCAATTAGGAAAGGCTATTTTGACGAATAAATAGGTGTAAAAAGAACGAAATTGGAACTATATACGGTTCATTTAAAAAGTTCAAGGACTAGTAGAATAAAAAGTCTTCTAATTAAATAATTCGCATGTCACAAGAGTGAATATTGATGTGTATAGGGGGGATATCAAATTATTTTTTGTTTTTCACAAGGAGCTGCCCCAAGCAAAGATGGTATAAAAGAAATTAAAATCAACGACATTTACAATGCCGGTGAGGCTTGAAATCTTTTATATATTCTTCTCTTGTTAATTGATGAGTTTCAGATATTTAATTTTTACTTTTGAGTCAAATCGGCAAATATTTATGCAGGTGATCACTTAAAATAGGTAATTTTGCTCCAGGATTTTTGAGAGTATTCACATAAATGGTGTTATCACAAACAGAAACATAGATTATCATGTCTGACTATATAGCTTTCATTTGTGAGGGATTTCTTTGAATCTTTATCTGGTCTAAGGTCAAGCAACGAGAAATTTTTGAGCACCAACTTTGGTGTTTGGAATAGATATCACATTAAAATTATAAGTGAAAGGTATGATATCGTTGAAAATTGTAAGCAACTTTGGGGTGGATTCATTTAGATGCTATTATTCCAATACTGTTGGTTAAATTAGGCATTTTTCGTCTCAGTTTATTTGCATAGCATCTAGAAACCAGAATCAATCACAAGAGGTGACACAGCAATGGGGCTCCTCACGGTGTGATTTCCATTATCTTCAATCCAAACAAGCTCACCAAATGACACTTTATGTTCATCATCCTTGTTCTTAGTGTACTTTATAGTGAGCTCGTAGCTTTGCTTCTCATATTTCTTTCCAAACACCAATGTTTCAGGAGAGACCTCAACTTCAGAACCTTCAGGTGCACTGAGCCTGGCCTTATAAGTTGCAGCTCCTTCTCCCACATTGGTCACAGTTCTCTGAAAAGTTTGAACAAATGATGTGGTATTGTCATTGTATAAAGCAATGAATGAGGGATAATTGAGATCAGCATTGGGGTTGGAGCAGTTGTAATTTTTTGATCTTGTAATGATCTGAATTTGGTTTTGGGTGTAATTCATGGAGCAAAGGAGATTCACATAGTCTTGTGGGGTTGCATCATATATCAAGCCAGGGTCAAGTGCTTTATTGGGATCAATTTGGCCTGCTCCCATGGCTAATGGTGAAGCAGATGTGAAATTAAGACCATTGTCTCGGATTGGATTTTGGGTGTTATCCAATGGGTTTGCCGTGGTCACCAAGGCAGATTTAATAGCAGCTGGACTCCAGTCCCAGTGTGCACCTCTGAGGAGCGCCGCCACACCAGAAGCATGAGGGCAGGCCATTGATGTCCCAGAAATGACATTGAACTCACTGGACAAGTACACATTTGGACCAATTCGAGCTGTTGGATCAGTGGGAATCCAAGAAGCCAAAACCTGTGACCCTGGTGCCATTATGTCTGGCTTCAAGATGCCTGGAAAGTACGGCGAAGGACCTCTAGAAGTATAGAGAGCCACAGCAGGTGCAGGCTTCGTGCCTAGAATTGTTTGCTGAAACTTGATGGTTGCTGAAGGTCTCTTATCAGTTGTTGCGTAATTGATCACAACTGGTGCATCTTTGGAACTAATAACAACACCAGGCCAATTCATACCCATTTCAAATGATTCCTCTCTATCTGAAACAAATATGGCTCCACGCACATTTGTCCCGGAGATAGCATCTACCTGGTCATACAGAAACCCATTTTTGTCACAGAAAATGATAGCGTCACTGGGAACTTTACGTAACAATTTAGTTGAGTTGCAAGCTGAGTAAGTCTTGTTGTAAATCAATCGCATATCGTCTAAATAAGCATTCGCCGGGAACATGGTCCATCCTATTATAGTTTCTCCATTCCCCAGAGTCAAATTTCCAGCAAAAGAACGATCAATAGTGCCAGCTGCAACTGTCATAACCCAAGGGATGCCATTATGCAAGGTCCCTGGAGCTGGCCCTGCATTTCCTGCAGAAGATGAGACCACCACGCCCTTCTCCATAGCAGCAAACGAGGCTATTGCAATAGGATCCTCATACAATGGCACTTCATCGAATCCCATGGAAATCGAAATAATATCAACACCATCATCAACGGCCTTGTCCATGCCAGCAAGAACATCAGAGGCGTAACGCCCTTCATCTAAAATGACCTTGTACATGGCCAGCCGGGCACGAGGTGCAATGCCTCTTGCTGTACCTGAAGCATAGCCATAGAATGAAGCATCATCCACATAATTTCCACCGGCTGTGGAGGATGTGTGAGTGCCATGTCCCATGGTGTCTCTAGCTGAATTCATGCTAATATTTACCCCTGGATTTGCTGCTATAACACCCTTATTGAAATATCTAGCTCCTATAAGCTTCCAGTTACACATGGAAGAATTAAAATCTTGTCCATCTTCACATTCTCCCTTCCACCTAGCAGGAAATGAACTCAGGTTATTAGCTTGAAAGCTATCACTCTCTGGCCAGATACCAGTGTCGATGACACCCACAATGACGTCGTCACCATAATTTGAAGCAGGCCACAGGCCGGAGGTCGGATTGAGGGAGAGGAACTCAATGGTGTGGGTGGTGTCAAGTGTGACATATTTGTCTTTATAAGCTGAGATGAAACCTGGGGATTTTTTCAAAGTTTCAAGTTCTTCTTTTGATAAAAACGCGCTGAAACCATGAGCAACATTGTCATATGAGTACAGAAGATATGGTGAAAAGCTATGACCATCAAGTGATGAGGTAGTGGTTCGGGACTTGAGAGAATGAATGATGGAGGAGAACCAATGCTGATGGCTAGAGAAAGTTTTGGGCATCAGGGATTTGTCCATGTGAACTATATATGTGCTTCTCTCAACTGAACTTGAGTTAGCATGGAAAGCCAGCAGAAGCAACCCCAAGATGAAAAGTAAGTGATGAGAAACCCCATTAACAAACATCATTGTTAATTTCTCTTGGGGACAAGTTTAGTCTATGATTTTGCTTATATACATAATGAGTGACAGCTCTGTGGATAATGACTAAGAAAATTTTAAAAGTCTTTTCTGTGTTGGCAGGAAGTTTAATTACAATCGGTTACAATAACTAAGTTGTAAATCATCATGAATTTCTTATACGCTGAGGATAAAAATCTTTTTCACCTTCTTCGAATGGTTGCTCTCAATAATATAAAGGATTCTTCATACCCAAAAAATGATGTAACTTGGTAATTTGGGCTGGAAACAGCTACATAAGAACACATGTAGATAATTACTAAAAACTAGAGGCATATTCAATGGAGGGAGCCAAATCCAACACATCTCTATCTATGCTATGCTAATTCAACTGTGCCAGCTTTTATTCTGCCAGCGGTGCTTGTGACGGTTGAAAGTGTGATATTCACTATGAAATATTAAAAAGTTATGGAGCATTGATTTATCAGACAGACCTGCAGTTTGAAATTGAGATTAATGACTTAAAAGTATTTTATTGATAGATTAGTTTTATCCACTAGAATTTGGTTGTACACTAGATACTCATCAGGGCTTAATCGTAAGGCTTCCTTGAGATGCAAGGCATGCTCCAATTGAGGACTGAAATTTTATCAAGACCAAGAATAAATAAGCCACTGGATTTCGCCTCCTGCATTACTGTAAGCTACATGACATGCAATTCAGGATATTGATTCTTTTGCATATAAAATCTTTATCTCAAAACTCCAAGAAAGGAAGGCGAAAATATTTTCTGATAGGCAAAGGCAGTAGACAGTAGTATAGACAAGAAAGCATAAATAATGAAGCTTATATAGCTATAATTCAGCTTAAGTAGTTAGTTATGGGATGCGACACAAACAGAAATAAGTATTCAAAAGTTGAATATTCTAGTGTCTGATATAGTTTCTTCTTAATTCAGTTCAAACTTTGACAATAAACCAATCTATAAGGCTCCAAGACCGCCATGCACAAGCTACGTTTTGTTTATGTTTCAAACTCAGGCCTAGAGTTTGGACTTCATGAGAGACACAGAGAAAAAGAGAGAGGCAGGAGCAAAGAGAACAGAAGATCTATTATACAAGAAATTCATATATTAGAAGCCATATAAGTTGACAAAACAGTCGATACATAATTATCTTTGCAATAGCTTAGAAAATTCTGTAAGTACACTCATACTCTGATAGTTGTCAGAGATAGAAAACTTAGACCTCCAGATAGATATTACTCAATAGAAATTTAATCCTCCATGCGAATGATGCACCTCAGGCTATCTCCTTTGAGCATGTAGTCAAATGCCTTATTAATCTCTGAGAAAGGTATGGAGTGAGTGATAAATTTCTCAAGTTGCAAATCCAACTCCTGCAACACCAAGACAGTGGATTTAGTATTACTATGGCAATCTATGTCAAAAGAATTGGCATCTCACGATATTGCAATGGCTAACAACTTAAACTCAGCTTTGCATAGAAACACGAGGTTACCTTGTTCATGTATTGTTCCACGACTCTAGGAAGATCAGTGCGAGGTTTGTAGTTGCCGAAGAAGGTACCCTTTAGAGTCCTCTCGTTAAGCAGATTCATTGGATGAGTTTTGAATTCATCATCTTTGTTTGGGACACCAACAAGCACAGCAACACCCCAACCCTGAGAAGTATACAGATTTTGGAATTAGAAACAAAGTAATTGACTTATTTGGATTTTTATTTTCTTCCAGATAGTAAAAGTAATTACATCATGGACGCATTCAAATGCCGAGATCATGGCCTGGATGCTTCCAGTACATTCAAGACTCCTATCAACCCCGCCACCAGTCATGTCAGCAATAACCTGATCATCAAAAGCATGCATCAATTCTCAGTTGAACCAATAGTCATTTAATCTCTGGCAAAACAGTCTCGTGTAATTTAATAGCCATCATAATCATCCCCACATATTCAGTGTAATAAAACATATAAGCTTTTTCACAGCTGTCTTAGTATTTACTTTTTAAAAAAAAAAATAAGGCCAGAAAACGAGAGAAGCTATATCTAAAAAGTGGACACAGACAGCTATATCAGTATATCTTAGTATTTATTGGCATTTTGGACGAATGCGATGGCCAGTATGGAGCTCAGGACAGAGGCACGAGCAAATTAAACACCTGGTATCTGCTTTTCTTACCGAGAAAATATTTGAATTAAAAGAACAGTTAATAATTCATATACAAATAAAAAGGACAGAAGAGAAGCAAGCTATGATCAATTATGAGCAAAATAACTTAAAAAGGGCCTTGGAACCAACCTGTTGAACAGGTTTGTCATAATCTTTTGGATTCACAAACTCAGTACAACCAAACTTCTTAGCTGCAAAATAAGATATGAATGGAACACCATAATAAGTAAATAGTTAACTCATATTAACTAGACTTTAACGAAGCATGTATATGTACATATGCATGTGCCTTAAAAAAATAATGTATACATCTTTGAATTTGATAGGGTCAAATCTATTTGTATATTCACTTCTATTTAAGTACTCTACCTTCCGTGAATCTGCTGGGGTTCAAATCAACACCAATGATCCTTGAAGCTCCGGCTATCCTTGCCCCTTCAACAGCCTAAAAATTATCAACACAAGAGATGCATAATGATAATTCATCACAATCCTTTTTCCGAACTATATAAAACAAATTAATGGAAATAACTTACGGCAAGACCAACAGCACCCAGTCCAAAAACAGCAACAGATTGGCCCTTTTTGGGTTTTGCAACATTCAAAGTAGCACCAAGACCTTCACCAAAGAAGATAAATTAGTCAATAGAAATTTGAAATTCAAAACATAGCTGGTATAGTTAGTATTTATTTAAGAAAGAGGACTCTTCTGAACCTGTGGATATTCCACAACTAAGTATGCAAACTTTGTCAAGAGGAGCAGCAGGGTTGATCTTGGCGACACAACCAACATGGACAACAGTGTATTCACTGAATGTGGAAGTCCCTACAAAATGGTATATGGGCTTCCCATTGATAGAAAACCTTGACTGACCATCATTAATCATAACACCCCTGTCAGTATTGATTCTAAGGAGGTCACACATGTTGCTTTCCTCTGAGTGACAGTGATGACACTCCCCGCACTCTCCAGTGAACACAGGAAGGACATGGTCTCCTGGTTGCAGATCAGTAACTCCTTCCCCTACACTCTCCACAATTCTAATTACCAGAAGCATGAAAAGAAAATAAAAGTTAGTTGCAGTGTATAAACCGAATGTGAACATGGTTTAGAAAATTAAAAAGCAAAAAATTCAACTCCATTCTTTCTACTTCAAATACATAATTTCTATCTAAATAAAGAGATGCACATACCCTCCAGCTTCATGACCAAAAATGCGAGGAAACACTGGTGTTTGTCCCTGAAACATTAAGAAGTTCCTTCAATTTCCAAACAATGTGGGTATAGGAAGCTTCAGCAAGCTATTCAAGCACACGCATAGCACAAAATGGGGTTTCCAAGATAAAATGGATGCCTTTGGAACAGAGAAGGAGTGAAAATAAACACAAGCAAAAAATTTTGACATCAAAGAATTCATAATGTGATTTGAGTGCATATACACAACACAAATAGAAAACTTTCCTATTCTGCTAAACAGAAAGCAATTCGCAGATGGCAACATTTCACAGTATGCACATTCTTCGTAGTAATACATACAATTTCCTAATGTTAATCATGATGTTTAAACACGATATGAATTTGTAGTTACCTTGGCTTCCCAGAAGTAAACATCAGTGTGGCATAAAGAGGTGAAGAGGATCTTCAATCGAACTTCATTTTTCTGTGGCGGTGCCACATCCACTTCTTCAATAACCAGTGGCTTCCCAGCCTCCCATGCCACAGCAGCTGCAACCAAATACACCCAATGAAGCATACAACTCACAGAAAAATCCCAATAAATTAAGATCTATATCAAGAAGCTACCTGAAGCTCTGCTCATTACATCAAAATTGTCAAAAATTTCAATGTGATCATGTAGATCAACGAGTTCATAACGAAGTAAAACATGAATAAATTTTCTTCTTATTGCACAAAAAAGAAGTCCAATTGTCCGTAAAAACCATCCCAAAATCTATTTCACAAACACAAAGTTCCAACCTTTTAGAATTCAATCAACAAGCCCATCATCCCATTAAACACTATCATGAAAAAAGCACAATCGTTTTTACAGTATCTTTCAAAAGAAATTATATACATGGTAGATGATGATCAGGTGACAGTACCTAGTTATTTTAAAAAAAAAAAAAAAAAATTATAAATCTAATCTATTTAATTGAACTGCAAAACATGGAAACAGCATATTCACATCTCGAGAATCCAACTGACCAAATAAAAAAAAAAAAAAAAATTTAAAAAGAAAAACATATAATCACTCACACTATGAATTATCACGGATCGAAGTGATGATGAAAACCATTATTAAAATCTAAACATAGTAATTAAAAAAAAAAAAAAACCTTTTGCCAACAACCAACAAAGAACATTTCACGATCAAGAAACATCAACGCTGAACAGAGATAAACAATCAGAAAAAAAAGAATTACCCTTGCAACGAATGACTTGACCAGCTTTGGTAGACATTATGTTTTAAGTTGAAGATGAACAAAATAGTTTGTGTTTGAAGTGAAGAAGAATGGCGTCTCTGAGTTATTATTTATAGCACAATTAATGTGTTAATGAAGGAACAAATTCAAAGTTGTTTTTTCCCTTTCTGCATACTGTTCATGCAACTGTACTACTGTTTTGTTTGTGGCATAGAATACAAGGGGCGCTGTGGATCCTTCATGAAGCGACCTTCGTGACGTGGCGGTGTGTTCGAGTGACAAATCACCGACAACGACGCGGCTTAAACTTTACTTTCTCAGTGTATTTGATGAATAAAAGTCAAGAGTAGATAACATGATCCCACCCAAGGTTTCGCAGACCACAAGATCTCACCCATGGTTTCGTAAATTCCATATTCCCACCCTTAAACTAATAAAAAATCCTATAATATAACAATGAATGGTTAAATTAGTCATTTTTGGGGAGGAAGAAAGAAGAGAGAGAATCCAAAAAAAACTCTCTCAACTCTAATCTCTTCCTCTTCTACTTTCTCTCATCTTTATCGGTGCCACCACCATCGCCTGCCGTTTTTCAATCCATTCCAATGATTGTGTCTGCCTAGCTACTAGTCGGACTTGCCCAGCCTAGATCTAGTCGTGATTATCCATCTCCCTCTCGTATTTTTCCATTTTTTTCTTCTTCACCACACAACTTTTGCCTTTCCCATGAGTGCAGCGCCCAACTGCCTGATTTCTTTGCCTTAACCAACACACCAAATCTTTAAACTGGTTTGCTGAATGCTAATAGCAATGACCATCTTTTTGGGTTGAAATTGAAGAAAGTGAAGAGGAAAAGAAGTGGGAGAGTTTGGTATCAAAGAAAGAGAGTGAAAAGTTTGGTGGGTGTTTATACGTGATTTTGACATCAACGACTTCGCACGTGCAAAATGCTAAGAGATCACACGCGAGATGATTATGAGAGTTGATTATGGTATTCTTTTCACAGTAGCATGTAAAGACGTAAAATAATAAAGGAGACAGTAGAGTTTTTATAGTGGTTCAGATACTTAAAGCGAATTCTATATGTACTATATTCTTTTATATGAGTGTGTTCCTAGTCGTTAGCCAATATTATAATAGGTCACAAACTTCGATATGATGTTACAAGTGTTTGGTGTTTAAAGCGTTCTTAAAGAATGTCAAACCAATCTCTTTCTCGTAGTGTGCCCTTGTTGTTTTCTTTGTTGAATTCAAAGGGTCTGATCCCGATTTTGTGAGGGAGAGTTGTCTATTTATACCTGTTGTGGTCATGGTAATGATTACACTTTTGCAAGTAGATTGGTGTCGTGCAAATGTCTCCTGCCTTCCCATTCGTTGAGAACTCAAAGAATATCTTTAATTTAAATAGGGTTTGGACATGTGTGAGAACCAAATTCATTCATAGGCAAAACTTGAGTTGGCTGGGTTGTTGACATCCATATTCTTTCTATCTTTAGAGACGTGGCAGATTCTGGACGGTGAGAAGGATTCCTGAATTCTTGTTGGTGCTCACTGACATCAACATAGGTCAACCGTTATTTTAGGCATAACAGTGGGTGTGATAGTTTCTTTTAGAAGTTTTATAGGTTGATGCTGATTCAAGATAATGTTTTGTGATTTTTTGTGGAAAGAATTGAAGAAGTTTGGTAAAGGGAAGAAGTCACAGTTCGATATTTATGGAAGGATGTTGGCTTTGGCTGCTCATGCCTTGGTTGAGTTGAATTTCGAGATTATAGAAATAGACGTAGTTTTTAGTTTTTGAATTTATGAAACACCTTTGATTGAAATGAGCTGAAATATTGTTCGCCATTTTTCTGTCGATTCCGGCAACGAAAATCCCTCTAGTGTAACACCCACATGGAGGTACGTAATTTAATTTATACTCTTATACCTTTAGTTGATTTTTGCTAAAGTTATTTTGAGAAAATGTGAAAAAAAATGCCTTAAACTTGCATTAAGGGTAAAATGATCTTTTCACTCAAAATTAGTTGAAATTGTGGGGAGTGAAAAGAGATAGAATTTCATGGAGAATGCAATAAAAATGAGGGCTTTATGGTAATTGACTAAGGGACATAGATAGAATTTTAAAGAAAGTGCAAGGGCAAAATGGGAAACAATATATAATTTTATGTTATATCAAGGATTGAAGAGTGAAACCCTAGCCACTCTTCAACCCATTTTCACGCCACCTTCTCCTCCAAATCCTCTCAATTTCTTCACTTCTTTTTCAAAAGAAATTCATAGATTTTGGGTGTTTTTGAGTGGATTTTCAATCCCAAGCATCTTTAGATAAGATCTTTGCACTATGAAGTGATATTAATTTTTGAAGTGTTGAATTTTGATGGTTTGTGCTCATAGGATTTAAGAGGAAGAGAGTTTGATCAAAGAGATTCTTAAAGGGTTGAATTGCTCATATCAAAGGTAAGTAAATCCTACCATCAGTATGATTTAAGTTATGTTGTGTAGAGAATTTTCTTTATGTATATATGTGTAGATGTAGAATTGTTGATGGATTTGGTGTTGAATGATGATTATAACCTATCCATGAGAAGTTGTGTTGGTGTATTTGATACTTGATGAATGTTTGGTTGAAATTTGAAAGAATTGAAGTTGAAATTTTGGAGTGTGTATTTTGGGTAGATTTGGCGTTAGTTATGGAGGATTTTATTCCAAATTTTTGGTGGCCTAGAAGAGAGATAGAAGTGTAGCCAAATTAATGTTGATTTGTGCACATAAATTGTTTGATAAAATGTCAAAGAGAAGTGCATGTATGAGTATGATTATGTGTTACTTTGAGATGAGTTTGTAGATAGTAGAGAATGACATGTTTGAATTCCATAATACATAATTGCATTTAAACATGTGAATTTAAGAAGAATTATAAGCATGAAACCATCTACATGCATACATATTCATAAGAGTATGATAATGTTTTAAAATATGTTAAAGAGAAAATATAAAGAAATGAGAATATTAAAGATATTCAAATCTGAATTTTTAGTTAAAGAAGTGTAAAAAGATAAAAAGAAGAGAAGGTTGTTATGATGGGGAGCCCGTGAGTGACATAGCCCCACATGCACGCCGCCTTTAGTGAGCAGCTTCAGAATTCAGAAAGAATAATTGTACAGTCTGTTAGAAGTGTGTGTGGATGAGGACTGTACCCAGAATTAGAGAATTCACTCACACAGCCAGGGTTCCAAATCCATGCCTCAACCGAGTCCAATCGGCAAGAAAAGAAAGAAATAAAGAATAGAAAAGAAAAGAAAGAAAGAATAGAAAAGAAAGAATAGAAAGAAAGAATAGAAAAGAAATAAATAAATAAAGAAACAGAAACAGAAACAGAATAAGAAAAATAGAAAAGAAAATGCATAATCTATGCATTTGTCTATTTGCATCATGAATATGTGTTGGAGTCCCACATCGACTAGACATGCTCAAGCCTATTGGGTTATAAGAGGGGGTAATCCTCCCATTCAACAAGACCTTATTGGGTGAGGAGTCAGGCCCACCTCAAATTCTAACATGGTATCAGAGCCCAGGTTTAGTTGAGCTGAGCGCTTGACCAGCGAGTGAGGAGTTAGAGCCAACAACTACCTCCAATAACAGGTATGACCCAACATATGGGCTTGACCATGAGGAGGAGTGTTGGAGTCCCATATCGACTACGCACGCTCAAGCCTATTGAGTTATAAGAGGGGGTAATCCTCCCATTCAACAAGGCCTTATTGGGTGAGGAGTCAGGCCCACCTCAAATTCTAACAATACGCATAAGACCATGCTCATTATCATTAGTAGTGATAAATTAGAAAATGGAGAGAAAAACAGAGAAAGAATAGAGAGAAGAACATAGAAAGAATAGAGAATAATCTGGAAGTGTGATGTAAGGAAAGAAAATTCAGAACTTAAGCAACGGAGAGCGAAGGGTAGCATAGCGGGTTTACTTACTGAGCAATTAGTACTCATTCCGTTGTTTTTAATGTTTTTGCAGGTAATAGGTGAGTTGCGGTCACTCAGAATGTCACGCGATGGAAGGGTTGGGCTACACTGTCAAATTGCTATTTTTAGTATATTTGTATATAAATAAAAATTAAATATGGACTCATACTTTATTACTCGTTTATATGTGTATTTTGTTATATATATTTTTAATGAATTTTACTGATTCTTTTACGAGTATACTAGTTAGAAAGAAAGTATTACATTTTGTCGCCGCCATTCACCTCACCGGCCTCCCCTCACAAAAACTCCTTCCACTCTAAAAATCGTTTGGTTGCCGGTCATCGTCCGTCACTTTCCCATCTCTTCGCACGACAACTTGGTTTGGGTTGATTCGGAGCCTTCGTTTAGAGTTTGATTTGTTGGGTTTTTGTTGTGTTTTGGAGTGAATTTGATTTTTTGATTGGTTGTGGGTTTTTTCTTGTTGTTTTCCCTGCTATCGGCCACTGATTTTCCTTGCCATTGCCGTCACCCACCGCCTACTCCATGTATTGCCCAAGTTGAAGAAAATGGTGTTATTGAAATGAATTTGAAAGTGAGATGGTTATTTTTCTAATTCTACTAATGTGGGGTTAAAAAGTAATTTATTAATTTATTTGTTAAGGACAGTTTGGTAATAGCACTATGTATAGTGTGTCCGAACCAAAAAATGATTAACAGTGTTAATTTAAGGGTGAGAATATGGAATTTATGAAACCAAGGGTGGGAACTGGAACTTGTAGATTCTCAAAACCTTTGGTGGGGACGAACATGTCGTTTACTCTTGAGTCAATTTTGTTCTTTTAACTAATCAAATGGTATAGTGGGATGCCATGGCCTATTCCCTTGTATTTTAAAAATTCTTATAATATGTTATATGTCATTATCATATAAAATGATAAATTTATAAAAATTAATTAAACATTTAACCATATTATTTGTTACAATTGATGAAAGATAGAGTTGCAATTTAAAATTGGAAATTTTATGTAAATAGAGAATTTTGAAGCAAAGCACACGGTTTGATAGAGAGAAAAGCACACGGTTTGATAGAGAGAAACCAAGTGTGGGAT